CGTCGTTGTCGCCGTCGTCGTCCTCCCTCCTTCCTCGTTGTCTACGTTGGCGACGTCGTCGTCGTCTTCGTCGTCGTCGTCGGCGTCGGCGTCGTTGTCGTCTTCGTCGTCGTCAACGTCGGCGTCGTCGTCGTCGCCGCCGCCGCCGTCGTCGTCGTCGTCGTCGTCGTCGGCGTCGTTGACGTCGTCGTCGTCGTCGTCGTCGGTGTCGTCGTCATCGTCGTCGTCGGCGTCGGTGTCATCGTCGTCGTCGTCGGTGTCGTCGTCATCGTCGTCGTCGTCGGCGTCGGTGTCGTCGTCGTCGTCGCCGGTGTCGTCGTCGTCGTCGTCGTTGTCGGCGTCGTCGAAGTCATTGGAGACGTCGTCGGTGTCGTCGTAGTCGTTGTCGGCGGCGTCGTCATCGTCGTTGTCGCTGTCGTCGTCGGCGCCGCTGTTGTTGTCAAGTGCCATGTGGTACCCACCGTCACGGTCTTAAGAACTTTTGCAAAGCAAGTTGCGGGTGGGTGGGTGGGATGTTTGCGCGAGCAGTGGAGTGGACAACTCACTGCGAACAGAAATTAATTGCACAATATAGGCTGCACCACGTAAATTGTACAACATCGACTGCACCATATCGATTGCACCACCAATTTTGCTCCATATTTTTATATATATATATATATATATGTATATATACACATGATTATATATATATATATATATATATATATATATATATATGTATTCTCCCTTCTACAAAGAGAATAGACTCTACCCCCCCCCGGCGTTCGCCGCCACCCTTTCGGGTATGTAAATCATGTATGATTCTGACCACATGTCCATCCGAAATATGGATTTGCACGATCCCGGGGGGCCAGTATCGGCCCCCCTGAAGTTCCCTTAAGAAAAAATGCGCGGGGACATTTGCTGCTCTAACATTAAACTTGTTCGCGAATCCCTTGCAACAAAAACAGGACGAAAAGCGCACGCGCACGCCGTCGCGTGCGCATGCCGAAACCCTTCAAAAACATTCGGTGCTGGAAGGATTTCGCAATCGAGTTTCCAAACAACATACAAAAACACAGGGTTTCGCACCACTGATTTGCTAAAAAAGCGTGCGCGCGAGCTCTTCCGAAATATCAAGAAAACCATCGGTTTTCCAAGATTCCCACAACATGCTACCAAACGGGCTTCGCGCGCGCGCATGTCGAAATCTGTCGAACGCCCTTGCGCGTGTGCCGTCGCGAGAACCCCTTGCAACAAATGGGACGAAGTGCACACGCGCGCGCCGTCGCGCGCGTATGCCGAAAATCTTCAAAACCCATCGGTTTCGGAAGGATTTCAAAATCGCGTGTCCCAAAAGCCGGCAAAAACACAAGGTTTCGCAACACGGATGTTCAACAAAAGCGTGCGCGCGCGCTCTTGCGTCGTCGTCGTCGTCGTCGCCGTCCTCCCTCCTCCCGCGTCGTAGTCGTCGTCGTCGCCTACGTCGTCCTCTGTCTTTCCTCGTGTTCGTCGTCGTCGTCCTCTTTGGCGTCATGGTCGTTTCTGTCGTCGTTGTCGCCGTGGTCGTCCTTCCTCCTCCTCCTTCGTCGTCGTCGTCGTCCGTCGTCGGCTTCTCGTCGTCGTCCCTCCTATTTCGTCGCCGTCGTCGTCGTCGTCGTCGTCGTCTTCCCTCCTCCCTCGTCGTTGTCGTCGTCGGCTTCGCCGTCCTTCCCCCTTCTTCGTCGTTCGCGTCGTCGCCGTCCTCCCTCCTCCCTCGTCGTTGTCTTCGTTGGCGACGTCGTCGTCGTCTTCGTCGTCGTCGTCGGCGTCGGCGTCGTCGTCGTTTCCGTCGTCGTCGACGTCGGCGTCGTCGTCGTCGCCGCCGTGCTCGTCGTCGTCGTCGTCGGCCTTCTTGCTTCTCCGGCCGCGCGCGGATGTCGAGCTCCTTCCAAAACCTTCATCACCGACGCGAGGCCGCTGTCATCGCCGTCGGCGTGATCACCATCGGCGCTTGTACTGGCCGCGTCGCCATCGGTGCGAACATCGTCACCGGCATCGCCACTATCATCATCGTGTTTACCGCGTCGACGTTACCATGGTGCCGCGCCCGCCCAAGCCGCCGACTCGCAATCAAATGCCTGCCGGGATGCGCCCAGCGGTCACCGCCACCGCATCCGCGTCGACCGCGCCAAACTAGCTGGCCGCCGCGCGCGCGTGCTAGGGTTGGCGCGGCCGCAGAAATGCACCAGCCAACGCCAAGCATACATCGAAATCGACACCGCATGGGTTTTGCAAACCAAGTTGCGGGTGGGTGGGTGGGATGTTTGCAAGAGCGTGGGATGTGTCAACTCATGGGTAAAAATCAAATACACGACATAGATTGCAACACATATAGTTCACCACATTTGAGTACACACCATACAAGGCACTCCATATACTGCGCAGCAACGACCGTACCACACAGGTCTCACAACGCAAGCTGCACAACGTAGATTGCACCTCGCAGATTGCAGCACACATACGTTGCGCAACAGATGCTGTTCCACACCGACTACATAACATTTATTGCGCCACATATGTTGCGCAACGTACATTTCACATCGTATATTGCACAACATAAATGGCGCAACTTAAATTGCACCACATCGGCTGAAACACATATACTGCTTCGCACAGCGTATCCTTCCTAAAAGAGTAATAAGATCGAACCCCTCTGGAACTAACGACAGCCACTTACGCATTGCAATTTACATATGTTATGCCCCATCGTCCATCCCGAATTCGAACTCGTACCCTCCCATGCAGGCCGGTATCGCCCCCCCCATCTACCCTCTGCAAAAAAATACTATGCGCGCGCAGTCGTGTATCAAAACCCGTCAATTTCCCAGAACTCCTTGCAAACAATGGGACCAAGTACGTACGCGCGCGTCGTCCCGCGCGCATGCCCAAATCCTTCAACAACGCTGTATGTCGCAAGGGTTAAAACATCGAGTGTCCCGACAACGTCTCAAATTCGATGGCTTCGCAACAATAATTTCCCACCACAAATGCGATCGCGCTATTGCGAATTGTCGAAATGCTACCAAATCAGCCTCGCGCGCATGCCGAAATCGTTCGAATTCCCCTGCCCGCGTGCTGTCGCAAGAACCCTTTTGCAACAAGCGGGACGAAGTGCGCACGCGCTCGTCGTCAAGTGCGCACGCCGAAATCATTCAAAAACCAAAGGTTTCGGCAAGATCCCCAAATCGATAAACACATGGCTTTGCAACGCCAGCTACAACAACAAAGCCTGCGATCGCGCTTTTGTGAATCCTAAAGAGAACCTTGACTTGTTCCAGTACTTTCATGAAGTTCTGCCTCGCGGGCCTCTCGCGCCGCATGTCGAAATCATTCGAACGTCCTTGCGCGCGTGCTGGGGGGGGGGCCTGATCCGTGTCAAATAATACCATGCGGGCCACTTGCGCGCGTCGGCCGCGCGCACGTGTCGAACTCCTGGGAAAATTTCCAGCACCGACGCGAGGACGCCGTCATCGTCGTCGGCATGATCAGCATCGGCGCCGTCACTGGCATTGCCGTCGTCGTTGTCATCATGGCCACCACCATCGCTACTATTATCCTCGTGTTCACCGTTATCGACGCCAAATCGCCGACTCTCACTGAAGTGCCCGCTGGGAAGTGCCCAGCGGTCACCGCCACCGCGGCCGCGTCGGTCGCGCCGCATTAGCCAACCGCTGCGCGCACGAGCATACGCGGGCTAGCGCGGCCGCGGAGATGCACCAGCCAACACCAAGCACTCATCGCAATCGCCGCCGCATGGGCTATGCAAAACAAGTTGCAAGCGGGTGGGTTGGATGACTGCGCGAACAGTGGAATCGATTACTCATGGCGAACAGAGTTTACTTGCACCACGTAGATTGCCCCACGTAGATAGCAATACGTTCATGGCTATAAACACACTCTTTGGGGCCCACGCTGGCTGACATATTCTTGGCTTCGGGTCCCAATCACGAACTGGCTCCCCTTAACTGGGGCCCTGGCTACATCCGAGTGCGGCGGGTTCCCGAAACCCTGAACGAAGCCAAGCTGACATCTCTTCGGGGGAGGACATCCTCAACTTCCGCCCGCCTTCCGCCGGTTTCCGCCGGCCGCCCCCGTTTTCCTTCTGCTGGCCTCCGCCGCCCTGCCGCCGCCGTTTGCCGAGGAAGAGATGCCAACTTCTCCCGCCCTTGAAGGCGAGACTCGGCGGTGGACAAACCTCCCTTTGGTAAACCCCCCTTGGTGAAAACGGCCTAGGACCGAAACCGACGGACCTGGACCCGCAAAAATGACGGCCGCGACGCCTTGTCGCGAACCGAAAACGGCCGATTCGCTAATCGACGTGTCAGGGTAGGAGGTCTGTCCACCCCCGAGAGACCCATTCTGGAGCTCACCATGCGTGGTCATTCTGGAGCCTCTGGGGACTCTGCGGGCCTCTGGAGGCGGAGGACGACGTCGCTCGTCGTCGTCGTCGCCGCCGCCGTCGCCGTCGCCGTCGCCGTCGCCGTCGCCGTCGCCGTCGCCGTCGCCGTCGCCGTCGTCGTCGTCGTCGTCGTCGTCGTCGTCGTCGTCGTCGTCGTCGTCGTCGTCGTCGTCGTCGTCGAGTCGAGGTCGAGATCGACGTCCGTCGTTGTGGCTGAGGCTCGTCGTCGCGGCTGGGTCGGACAACTGGTCAGGATGTGGTTGCCAAGAGACATCCAAATACCTGTTTGAACGGGATTGGGTCGGAGAGGAGGAGGAGGAAAGCAGAGGAGGAGGAGGAGGAGGAGGAGGAGGAGGAGGATGGGGAGGAGGAGGAGGAGGAAATGGAGGAGAGGGAGGAGGAGAAGGAGGAGGAGGAGGAGAAGGAGGACTCAAGGGGCACAGAGAGAATGTACAGCGTGCCGAGGATGGGGCATGAGGAAGCCGCTTCTCATCTGCTTCAGCGTGGTAGAACAAGAATCCGATCCACGCGCGCCCGCTGTGCGCGGATACGCCTCCCCACCATGCTCCCTGGTGTCCTTGGCATCCTCGAAGGACATCCAGAAGATGGACATGGGATCGTCCATGGGCACGCCTGCGACTGCAGGAGAACAAAACGCGGACCTCTTAGATTGTCGCTGGGCCCCCCCTCCCTGGCGCGTGGAGCGCGCCAGGGGCGGCGCCAGGGGCGCCGCCAAGGGGGTGCCTGGCGGCCGCTCCGAGAAGTCTGCGCGGAGCTCCAAAAGTGAATGTGAGTGCAGTGCTTTGTTCCCCGAGGCTGGCAGGGGGGGGGGGGGGCGGGCACCTCCTTGACCCCCGCAGGTGACCCAGCGTCCCTCTTCGCCCCGCGCGAGGCGCGAGGCGCGGTCATCGCCGCGCTCCCGCGCGGCCCCATGGAGAAGGGCCGCTCTCCCGCCGAGGCCGCGGGCTGCGACAATCTTCGCAGTCCAGGCCCCTGCGGGTGACCTGGGTCTCCGTAGCGTCTGACGCCGGCCGCGGGCTCCTGGACCTGAGGCCGCTTGACTGCTTCCATGCGGAAGGCCCCAAAGATTTCGGTCCCTCTCGCAGACTGCTTCTGTGATCCCCAGGATGCACAGGAGAAGGAAGAGGCGGAGGGGGAGGAGGAGGAGGAGGAGGAGGAGGAGGAGGAGAAGGAGGAGGAGAAGGAGGAGAGGGGTGAATCGACAACCAAATCAAAGCGCGCACCTCGACACTTGGTATTGCTTACCGGCGCCGACGCCGAACTATCTCTTCCCCCAGCCGCGAAAGTGTGTGGCTAGCCGCAGCGATAATTGCTCCAGGTGGCGACTGGCGGTCCGTGCGGGGCATGCATAAGTAAACGCCATGACGGTTCGTCCTGAAAGAAGTGGGCCAGAGTTACATAGTAGTGCAATAAGAGCTCCGATGGCGCCAAGGATCCCACTATCCTGACCCTGGTGGACGGCTCAGCGACAAAAAAAGAGGAAGCGACGCTTGACCAAGGACAGAGGAGCGAGAAGGTCTCCCGAGGTATCCGAGGTCCCTGAATGTCTGCTGAGGCCTCGGGATGCCTAACAAGGGTCGACGCAATCCAAACCGTTAAAATACGTGCATGAGGAGGAGGCAATATACTACAGGTACCCTCCCTGGACTACAGGTACCCCCAGAATTATTGAGGGACATAGTTTAACACATCACTAGGAAGACGTGGGAGAAAGACATGGAGGGAATAGTGGAGTACAGCCGTGAGGACGCCATGTCTTTCAAGGAGGAGGGGTAGGATGATGAGGAGGATGAAGGAACACGAGGCGGAGGAGGAGGAGGAGGAGCAGGAGGAGGAGGAGGAACGGCGAGGAGGAGGATGATGACGACGACGGGGAAGATGATGAGGAGAGGAGGGGGAGGGGGGACAGAGAGAAAGAGAGAGAGAGAGCAGCAAGAGCAGAGGAAGCATGCTGAGAAACGATGGGGAGGGAGACGAGGAGAAGGAGGCGTACGGATCTGGAGGGGGCAGAGGATGAAGCGGGTGAGGAAGCAGACGAGGAATAGGAGGAGGAGGAGGAGGCGGAGGAGGCGGAGGAGGGTGGAGACGGAGGAAGACCCTCCTCCTCATCCTCCTCGTCCCCCATCTCCTCCTCCTCCTCCTCATCATCCTCATCCTGTCCACCCTCTGCCTCCTTCTTCTCCTCTTCCTCCTCCTCCTCCTCCGTCTCCATCCTCCTCTTCCTCCGTCTCCACCCTCCTCCTCCTCCTTCTCCTCCTCCTCCTCCTCCTCCTCCTCATCCTTCTCTTCTGCCTCCTACTTCTCATCATACCATCCTTGCAAAATGGGTCTGGACGACCAGCCCTCGCTCGTTCCGCCGCGAACCGCAGCTTCTCTGGCCTCTTCGTCAGGAGGGGGCGGGACTGTCTGGGTTGGGACTGGGGGCGACCTTCAGTGAAGGGGCCCTGGAACACACAAATAAATACACACAAATAAAAAGATTCCCCATATTTTCCCATATTTTCTGGGGTTTTTGTCTTCCCCACCACTTCCCATATTTTCCCATATTTTCTGGGAAATCGACGATTAATTGTGTCTGTGTGTTTCTTCCCCTCCTGATTCAGGGTGGCCTTGCACTGTTTGGGCTCCGCTCTCGGGGAGAGGCCGAGCCTCTCGGGGCACGGGCGCGGGAGCACCGTCGGCAGGTCGTGCCGACCCCCGAAGACCTGGACCCCTGGCTCGCCTGGAGCTCAGTGCGAGTGCATGTGAATATGGTGGCACCTGTCCAGCCGTTGCCGAGCTCCTCCTCCTCCTCCTCCTCCTCCTCCTCCTCCTCCTCCTCGTCCTCCTCGCCCCTCCCCCCTCGCGAGGAAGGACGAGGTGGGCACACCGAGGCCAAGAGGAAGGGCGGGGCGCGCAGCGCGGCGGACGGCGCGCGGCCCGAGCTGTTCACCACGCCGAGCTCGCGCTTGAGTTCGGGGGTCCACTTGTCGGAGTCCTGCGGCGGCGGCGGCGGGGACCGGGACGGGCCGGCAGCAGGGAGGGCGATTTGTTTTCATCATCCATCGACAAAGGGGAAACAACATCTAGCTGCAACTGTCTATGAACGACACGTGCGGCTATCTTGGTATACACTGGATTATCCCGTCGCAGGGAGCTGCGTCCCTACACTCGCTATGTGCGCGCGTCGACGACGACACCGACCACGGACGAGGACGACGACAAGGACGACGAGGACCACGGGGGCGACGACGGCAAAGACGCTCACGACGGCGGGCGGCGGGCGGCGGGCGGCGGGCCGCGGCGGCGACCAGCGTCAAAGGCACCGAAGGCGGCGGAGACGGTGGCGGCGGCGACCACGGCGACGACGGAGGCGTCCTTGCCCCAGTCGCCCTGCCAGGTCCGCGGCGCTCGCTCGCCCCAGGGGTTCCGGATCTTCAGCAGGCGTGCGATCCTGTGGCACGGACTCCCTCTCGGCGGGAGATGCTGCGAGAGGAGGGAGCCATGCCCCCCGGCTGCCAGCCTCGCCTCCTCCCCCGCCCAGAGGGGCGGGGGATCGGGGATCGGGGATAAAGGCTTTTGGACGCTCGAGGCGTCCGCATGGGGACCTCCCGAGGCCTCCACGGGAACCCTTGGGGACCTCCAGCTCACCACCTCCTCTCCGCGGTACCCCCCCTGTGCAACTCTCCCTCTGCCCCCCCCCCATCCCAGCAGGGAGCATCCTAGGTGGCGTGTGAAACAAAATAAAGGTAGCCGACTTAGGCCTGCAAGCGAACGAATTGCGCCTGGCGGGCGCAGCAGAGAACGGGCGCAAGATGTACAGAAAAAACAAGTGAGTCCACAAGGGCACAGAGTATGCGCTTGCCAGGCGGTCGGTGAGGTAGAGAGAGGGGGGGGGGGGGGGGGGGGGGGCGAACACCGAAATAACGACTGCAAGTACCGAGGAATGAACCGAACGAAAGGGGATCGAGATACACGTGCAACAGTAGGCGGCCTGCCTCGTGGTGTCGTTATAATGCCAGGTGAGTGCAGGCGGCCGTAACGCAAGGAGTGGCGCTGCAATGCTTATTGTGAACCGCGGACAAGCACCACATCAAAAGGGCCCCACCCGCCATAGTTTTCAAGGCTAGCAGTAACCAGTGTGTGATGCGCGGCAAGAGAGAAAGACAGAGCAAGCGACATGAGGTGGCACGTTGGCAGTGTGCAGTTGGGCGGAATAAAAGTAAACTAAAGTGTGCTGTCGTCGGGAGTCCACAGTGGGAGGAATTCTGGGGCTCTTCCCCTTCCGACGTGCCCAAATGGAAGCATACACCAAACATAAGTAAGACGGAGGAGTGCTGGGAGCTGCGACAAACTCCACCCTGGGGAGCCCACAAAGGACGTACGCGCCAAGCCACGTACACGAATACGGCCCCCCCAGTCCGTGAGACCAGCCTTGTGATACGAACGTTCACGCAATGAGCACCTTCGAAACCAGCGTGGATTCATGTACACGTCGTTCATTTCTAATCGTGCTCATTTCTAAGTGTGCTCGTTTCTAATTGTTCCTAGCCCCCTAGTGACCAGGAAGAGGCCCAGGACAGAACAATTAGAAATGAAAACATCTTGCCCACAAAAAAATCAAAGAACTTTTGAATAATCAGACATGAACGGTGTGTACGTGCGCGTCCTTCTTTCACTCCTGACTGCCCCCCCTCCCCACCCTTCTCCCCCAACTCCCTGGCCCCCCCGCCGTTCTCCCACCCGCCCCTCCCTGGGACCCGCGCGCCACGACCAGAAGCGTATCGAGCCCAGGTGGAGGGACGGCACCTGGCTTATACAACAAAAGGGGTTGTCATCGTCGGAAGCCGCTGTCTGCATCCCAAGCGCGAATGCGAGACTCGAGGAGTTGCTGCGCATACCCAGGAGTGATAGAAGCCAATACGAGAAGTGCGTGCACAGGTGGAGGGACGGCACCTGCTCCGCCGCAGGACGGCTCGCAGCCTCGGGGCCCGACGCGGGGGCCACGCTCCACGGCAGCGCGGCTCGCCGCAGCAGGGGCCTGCTCCACCGCTGGACGGACCGCCACCTCGGGGTGGACATGGGGAGGACACGCCTCCGCAGCAGGACGGAGGAGGAAGAGGAGGAGGAGGAGGAGGAGGAGGAGGAGGAGGAGGAGGAGGAGGAGGAGGAGGAGCGAGGACGAGGCC